CGCACCGGTCCAAAAGCGCACCGGTCGAAAAGCGCACCGGTCCAAAAGCGCACCGGTCGAAAAGCACACCGGTCCAAAAGCGCACCGGTCCAAAAGCGCACCGGTCGAAAAACGCACCGGTCGAAAAGCGCACCGGTCGAAAAGCGCACCGGTCAAAAAGCGCACCGGCCGAAAAGCGCACCGGCCGAAAAGCGCACCGGTCGAAAAGCGCACCGGTCGAAAAGTGCACCGGTCGAAAAGCGCACCGGTCGAAAAGCGCACCGGTCGAAAAGCGCACCGGTCGAAAAGCGCACCGGTCGAAAAGCGCGGTCGAAAAGCGCACCGGTCGAAAAGCGCACCGGTCGAAAAGCGCACTGATCGAAAAGTGCACCGGTCCAAAAGCGCACCGGTCGAAAAGCGCACCGGTCCAAAAGCGCACCGATGGAAATGCGCACCGGTCCAAAAGCGCACCGGTCGAAAAGCGCACCGGTCCAAAAGCACACCGGTCCGAAAGCGCACCGATGGAAATGCGCACCGGTCCAAAAGCGCACCGGTTGAAAAACGCACCGGTCGAAAAGCGCACCGGTCAAAAAGCGCACCGGTCGAAAAGCGCACCGGCCGAAAAGCGCACCGGCCGAAAAGCGCACCGGTCCAAAAGCGCACCGGTCGAAAAGCGCACCTGTCGAAAAGCGCCCCGGTCGAAAAGCGTACCGGTCGAAAAGCGCACCGGTCCAAAAGCGCACCGGTCCAAATGCGCACCGGTCCGGTCCACAAAAATTAGATGCAACAGCCTATCTTCAACATCCTTATTGTCTTGCTTTCCTCCTTGTGACTTTGTTGCCTTGTCTTCTTATCCCTACTAGGTGCTTACGGGTTTGTTGTAATCTCACAAATGCATTTCGCACTGTGGCTTGAATAGCTCGTTAAGGAACCACTCATCTTTTTTTGCAACTCTATCTACCCTTTTCTCCTATCTTTCATTTCTTCCATTCAACCTTTACTCTCTCCTATTTTTTACCCCATTGGATCATCTTCAGAGATAACTATCGGAACAATCTCAGTGGCTCGATACCCTCGGGCATTGGCAATCTCCTTGATGTGTGCTATGTGGAATGATAAACTTTTAACGAGGTGAGTGCCTTGTGACCAATTGTTACCATTTCGTGTTACTATTTCCTGTTTCAAGTAGTATTGACTAGAAAAAAACTGAATGTGTACAATAGAAGATGGTTTTGCATGCACTAGCTTACACCCAATGAAATGTATGGCTATTCTCCATAGTGCATCACTATGTCATGCCCTTTTCATCTCCCCTCTTCATCCACTCCCCCCTTCCTCCGTTTCAACCAATCAAACCGTGGAATCCTTTGCATGCACCATCAAGGATCTGCACTATAATTCCTTGACTTGGTCTATTCCTTTTTTGGTTTTAGTGGCACAGCAGAGTGCCTTTTATTATAATTTCTCCTTAATTATACATGTTTTCTGTGCGTTTCTATACGATTTCATACCCTTCTCATCTTCCCCACTTCACTCACTCCTTCTCCACTCGATCAAACCCATGGAATCTTGTGCATGCACCATCAAGCATCTAGGATGGAATGCTTTGACTGGGACCATTCCTTCTACCATGGGCAGCATGAGGAGACTCACTTTCCATGTGTGCGTGTGTGTGTGTGTGTGTGTGCGTATGTGTGTACCACACAAAACTGAACTTGCATGTTTGGCTTGAAATGCATTGTTGCGTGCTTTTCACTGGAAAGAAAAAAAAGAGGCAAAGGCATGTCTCTTGTGCGTTTCTCTATGTCCCTATGTCATGCCCTTTTCATCTCTCCCCCTTAATCAACACCTCCCCCTCTTCCTCATCAATCACTTAACCCATAAAATCCTTTGCATGCACCAACAGGGATCTGGGATGGAATGCAGTGACTGGGTCTATTCCATCTACCATTGGCAGCATGTGCAGGCTCATTTCCCTGTCAGTACCATCAGAATTTATCTGAACTTTCATGTTTGGCTCTAATGGGACTAATTCGTACGTTAACTGAAACATAAGGCGGCTCTTTACCTCTTTCTGGGTCCACTAATATCATATGCCGTCAGCGTGTTCATTTGTCAAGAAAAGCCTGGCTCTCGCATACTCCAAATGTGTTGTGTTGCTGCTACTAACGGATGCAGGAATCTATTCTCAAACTTCCTCTTGCATACCATCCCAGAGTCCATTGGGAACCTCAGCAACCTGGAACTTCTGTACGTGGTCTTGTTTCAAAGTGTTACATAATGGTGGAAAGAAAGAGGGCATATCAAAGATGACACCAGGGTACCCCGATTCCCAACACAGTGATTTTATCTTCATGCCCTTTTTAAGCCGTCTTAAAGTCCTCTGGGAACCTCATCAACTTGAAGGAGCTGTATGTGCTCAAAACTTACACGAAGGTACACAGGAAGAGGGCCTCTACAAGGTGGCACCCAGTGAGGAGAGACTCGATAACCAGTCGAGTGTATTCATGACCACGCTAGTCTTCAGGGATCCTACACTATACGCGATACGATTATTGATATTATTCATCGCCATTATATTGTTGAGGCTTGTTCGACACACTAAGCCTTGTTTGTGTAATATTGATATTTGTGTCTCTCCTCACCAGATTGCTCTACAACAATAGCTTAAGAGACAGCATTCCAGAATCCATCAGCAAGCTCGTTAATATCTTTAAACTGCATGTTGCTCGTTGTGCAATTCTGCCTTTTTATAGCGTGAGTCATGGTCATTGTCTCTTCACAGACTTCATTGGACAAAAGCAGTCATGAAATCTGCCAATTTCAGGGGAATCAATGCGTATGTATAGATTTATACGCAAGGAAGAACAACATGCAAGGGAAGGGGGTGAATGGTCATGCTGAATACTGACATAAATAATATTTTAAGTACTTTGCATGGATAATTTCTACCCTTCATCAACAATCTAACAAAGTTCTCTCCAGTACCATCTTTGCATGAGTGCGTGCGTGCATGTGCACGTGCTCGCGTGTGTGCCTGTGATAATGCGGATTTGTGTGCATGTGTGCGTGTGTGTGTGTGTGTGTGTGCGTATGTGCGAGTGAGTGTGTGTGTGTGCATGCATGCGTGCATGTGTGTGTGTATGTGCGTGTGTTTGTGTGTGTGTGTGTATGTGTGTGTGTGTGTGTGTGAATGTGTGTATGTGTCCATGTGTGCGTGCGTGTGTGTGTGTGCATGCGTGCATGTGTGTGTGTTGCAGTTTCATTCGACCAAAATAGTGTCAATGGCCAGCTCCCTCCAACAATGGGAAGCCTCACCCATGTTTCATACTTGTACTGACCAATCCAGTATCACAGAAAGATCATCCACAACTCTGGCACACTAGTCCCATCCAATTGCAATCCCTGAATGCAGAGATTGTTTTGCAAGTGGATTCACGACTCCCCATACACGTGTGCAGGTACATATTTGCCACTGCAATCACCTGCCCACCTGACTACAGCAGCTGTGTGGTCCCACATACTAAGTCAAGCGCTTTCTGCTAGGAGTGCTCCAGTTTTTACTCCACATGTTACAAACCAGCACCCCCTGCACCGCCCTCTGCGTCACCGCCATCTCGAGCACTGCCTTCTGCAGCACCGCCATCTGCAGCTGCGCCCTCTTAAGGGTCTCCCTCTGAAGCAGCACCCTCTGAAGCCCCGCTGACTACACCACGTACAGTCCTTTTCACACCCACTCCTCCTTTGCGTGGTCTAAACATGATATTTCTTATCTCACTTATGAAGTTCTCGTCGATTCCGTTTATTGAGAATGACATTTCTTATCTCATCAATGCTTTGTTTTGAAAGCCAGTTTTCACTTGCCTCATCTTACCTGTAAACATTCTGCATGTGAAAGCTCAAACTTCAGCTATCCCTTAATTCCACGGATCCCTAAAAAGCAACAACTTTGATTTAGCTTAGCGGTACTTTATCATCAACTTTATCCAATGTTTCCCCACACCCTAACCCACTTCTGTCAACCCGTAAATTTTCCAACACCCCTTTCCCCATTCTCAAAATCTCCCTCCCAGCCTCATTCCGGATCCTCTTCATCCCAATCTGAAGGTTGACTGTCAGCCGGCATCATAGCTGGCATTGCTGCTGCTGGCGGAGTGGCTATCCTCGTACTGCTGCTTCTGGGTCTGAGGTTGTGCAAGCGATGACATACCAAAGGAGTTGCAGCACGAAACGGTGGTGGCACAGCTGAGGAGGGCAAGGAACTGGCACTAGGAAGTGCGCTCCAAGGAAGGAAAATCTTTATCTGCATTGTCCAATGGATACCATTGCACTCATTGTCATACTTCCCCTTCTCTGCCCTTCAACCCCCCTGCTCTTTCCATATCATCCTGGTATTGCACAGCTCCTGTCCATTTTCAGTTCCCTCTCAATAACCAGAACCAGGCTTATCAGACGAAGCACGTAACGTTGATGAGAGGGACCAGAAGCATCAGGAGCAGCAGCTGCGGCGGCTGTGGCAGCAGCAGCAGCAGCAGCACGAGGGCAGGATGGAGGGGATTTGGTGGTGGATATGGAGGCAGTGAAACCGCAAGTGTGCTGGAAGTTCACTGTGGAAGAGCTGACAAACGCAACAGCGGATTGGGCCGAGGGCAACAGTATTGGTAGCGGCAGCTTTGGGGATGTATAGAAGGGCGTGTCTCCGTATGATCCCAACGAGATATGGGCTGTGAACCGATCCGGGGTCCTTTCCAATGACTTCCTCTCTGACATAACGTGTCGTGGTACTATTGCTTTGGGATATACATCACGAACCAATCTTCCCTTCATCCATTTATTTTTCTAATCACACATGCGTGCATATTCACTTCCACATGGTTGTCTGTCTTTTGCTTCATTCCTTTGCCCTCTCCCTCTCCCTTGTCTCTCGGGTGAGGGATATGGCATCAAAGCACCACCCGCACCTTGTGCGCCTGCTGGGCTTTTGTGTGAACATGGATCCGATCACAAGCCGCGTGGATCAGGTGCTCGTGTATGAGTTCATGGCCAACCGAGACCTCGAGAGTTGGATCGGACAAGGTGACTTGCTTGAACCTCTCACCATACCAGCAGACCCAAAATCTTGATTCAATTGCCATGTAAAGTCCCCACCCCCACTCTCTGTTGGTCAACATGAAGCATGCTGCAAACTCTTCTCCATTGTTGATATGGGTTTGGTATTTTTAAAGTAACCTCGTTCTTTTGGCTAAGAATCATCAATTTCGTCAATTGCCAGGTGCTCCTTATCCACTTTCGATGTTGCAACGGCTGGACATTATGAGTCGAGTGGCAAAAGGGCTGTTATATCTTCACGACTTAAGCATTGTGCATCGCGACATCAAGCCAGCCAACACCCTTCTTGATGCAAAGATGTAGGCATGTGAAGACATGTATTTCTACATTTGATTGTCCCTTAACTACCCAGTGAACAATCTTTAATTCTCATTGCTGAAGTGCACTGTCCTGTTGACACGATTTGTGCTTTCTTGATTCTTCTTCCTTGAATCTACCTTTGTGCAACATTTGTGCTTTCTTGCTCTGATCAGGCCAAGATCGCAGACTTCGGTCTTGTGAAACTAACTGGAGGCACCGGTACGGTCACTTCTGTGGCTGCCACTCGAGTGATGGGAACACCGGGCTATGTGCACCCAGCCTACTACAAGTCCCACAGGGCCACTACAGCAGCATACGTCTACAGGTGAGCTTAGGGATGTTGCATGAGTCTTCATAAGGGAAAATTTGTGTGTGTTTGCAGCTAGCACATGTTATTCCATCATTTGAATGGCACCTTCTTCTTCCTTGCAAAGTGGCTCCGCTACTAGCATGTCATAGGAGCACATGATAATTTTTATGGTGTTTTGGCAGTATTTAAGGTCCCTTCCTTGGACGCATTGGATGGTCTAGTGTTGCGGTTGGCTCGCCCTGCTCTCTTTTGTAACATCATGCCCAATGACTCCTGTTCCACCGGGTGTTTGTATATCTGGTGACAATAACCACTAGGGAGGAGATTTTGAGGTTACGCTTTGCCTTGATAAGAAATCTGACTGCTCGGGAAGCCTATGGGTGATTGAGTAGCATGATTACCAACATAGAATAGAGAAAAATAATGGTGAAAACAATCAAGAAGGTGTCTTATACATCTCACGTGATTTGTACACATTGTTGTATCCCGTTGTGTATATTATTGGACGAGTGCCAGCATATAACACATGCTATCCGTGGCAGAGATTTCTGTAAACTTCATTGCTCAGTCTACCTCACAATATAGGATATTATGTCACTTTCATTTGTGGTAACTCTGCCGCCTTGTTTGCCCTCTTCTTGCCCCCTTTTCTGTCCTCTCCCAGCTTCTCTAGCTCCCAGCCACCCTAGCTCCAAGCCCCCCACGGTGCCCCATTCCGTCCCCCCACCCTCCTTCATTCGTCTGCCCCTTTCCCCCATTAAGCCTACCTCTTTCCCCCATTCCGCCCCCCCTTTTTTCACATTACCTCTTTTCCCCATCCCTAGGTGATGGGAGGGTCTAGGCGATGGGAGGGAGTAGGGGAGAGGAGATGTTGTTCTTTGGGCGCTCCTAGACGAATGGCGAAACAATGAGAGCATAAGGCAACGGGATGGAGTACATAGGTCATTTCGATTCCAATGACAACTTGTTCCAATCCAAAGATTCGTGTCTGCCACACACATTCTGTTGGAACATGCAGCTGCAGCAACATCTGCCCTGCAGCTGGTGGTGGACCTGCACAGGCAAATCCAGGCCTTCCACCATCCCAGCATTGGTAGAAATGGGGGAATGGGGGCAATAGTGGGGTGGCTGTGGGTGCGTGCATGCGTGAGCATGTTCCCTGGTGCGTGCGGCGAGCATTCAATTGCTTTGATTTGCCCTGTTTTGGCAGTTCGAGGCGTCAGATAGTCATGTCGCCACAGCCTCACACCTTTGTCGGTTGTCCAATTCTCTTCTCACGGTCAGCACTTGTAGTTGGGATGTCTGCTGCCACTGATGGGGATGAGATGGGGGGGATGAGGCACCTTTTATGACCTTCCTGTGATCTCCATCCTCTGCATTGCAGGGGATTGGGCTGGGGATCTGATTACCATTGCAACTGATGGCGACAAGGAGAGGGGTAAAGTGGAGGAGGATGATGAGGTGATCTATAAAGTGTCCCTCCTGTATTCCTCATTCTCCCTTCCCTATCTACTCTACCCCTCAACCGTCTGCGTCACCGAGGCTCCACTCCTATGTTCCCCATCAGTCAGCACCTGCAAATCTGATGGCAATTGTCATTGATAATGACGGGGAGGAGGAGGAGGAGGAGGAGGAGGAGGAGGAGGAGGAGGGGGAGGAGGAGGAGGAGGAGGAGGAGGAGGAGGAGGAGGAGGAGGAGGAGGAGGCAGAGAAGGAGTAGGAGGAAGAAGAGGAGGAGGAGGCACGAGTAGGAGCAGTAGTGGCAGCAGCAAGGGAACAGGGGCAAGCTGGGGGAGGTGTACCCGGTTTGGTGGAGGTAGATTGGTAATATTGCCCCTTTCTTTGACCCCCCATGGGCCCATGGGTGAAGTGCTGGCCAGAGCTGCTGCTGTGGCACAAGAGGTGGCCAGTGTTCTGTCTCCTGCTGATGCCGCTGCTGCAGCTACTACTTCAGCCACCAGGGGCCAAGGTGGACGACACAATCAAGCAGGTGAGAGGAGCTTTTGGTGGTGAGACGGGGGATGGCCCTGGGGAGGGGTGGGGGGGGAGGGGGGAGGGGGAGGGGGAAGGGGGGTAGGGACAGGGGGGGAGAGGTAATATAGGGGGGCCAAGATTATGGTATTGAGGTTGTGATGGCTTAGTGATCCAGTAGCATGAGTACGTTTCCTTTCCTTCCCCCTTCTCCCTATACCTTCCCCTCCCTTCACCTCACTCCCCCCCCACACTCCACTGCTGCAATCCATCTACTTGAAGGTCAATTCAGTACCCACTACCAGCGCAACAGCCGAAGCAGCAAGGCTTCCTCTTCTGCTGTTGAACACCATGCACCTTGCTCTTATGATGCTGATTTGATGCACCTCATGCTACGGTACCATATGCTCTACTGCTGTTCTGTGCCTTCCACATGTGACTACCCTTCTTGCTATCCGCTAGAATTCTGTGCTATAGTAACGATGACACTAGCTCCATATGTCAGAAACTAGCTTAGCTAGGAAGCCATAGAATGGCACAAGGTTTAGCTAGGAGCTAGGAGGAGCCATGAGAATGGCGAGAGGTTTTAGGTGCTAGGAAAGTTGAGGAGAGGAAAAGTTGTTGGATTAGAAGAGAGGGGAGTACAAGGAGGGGTTTGTACCCCCTACAGAAAGGTTCAGTAACAACCTACCAAGCCTATATAAATTATAACTTATATAATTTTAACACACCCCCTAGGCTTGGTAGTCACACACCCACACACACCCACACCCCCTAACCTAGCACCCCCATTCCAGCCACAGTGACAGCGACTCTAGGTCGGTCGACCCCACGGCGCGTGAGGCGGCGACGTCGACCGCAGGGGCTGCGGCGGCGACGGCGGCAGCGGCGGCAGTGTCGACAGCGGCGGCGGCGGCGGCGTGCGGCTGCGTGGCCCCGACGCAAGCGGCGACAGCGGCGGCGGCAGCGGCTTCGACAACAGCGGCAGCGGCGGCGGCACCCGCACCTCTCGGTGACGTGGCCTGGCCCCGCGACTGTGGGACGGCCGGCGGGAGTCAGCCGTCGTCTGCGGAATGGAAGAGGGCGCAGGGGAAGGAGGGGGGGTGGGGGGGGGGGGCGGCGCCACAGGCTGACATGCGGGCGGCCGGTCTAGCGGCGCCACAAGCGTCACGCGGCCGGCTGCAGCCCGACGACGCCGTCATGGAGCGGCGTCGATGCCGCAGCGGGGCGTCGACGCTGCGACGGCAGCACGACGTCGCTGGTACGCCGACTGCGCGCTGTCGCGTAGACGCCGCGGCAGCGTGACGGCGCCGTCACGTCGCGACAGCAACTTGACGCGACGGCGGAGCTGCGGCACGACGGCGCGGCCACAGCAGCTGGACGCGGGCGCCATGGACGTCGACAGCGGCGCCGCGGCACGACGACGCGGCCACAGCAGCTTGACGCGGCCGCCATGGCAGCGCGAGATAGAGAGAGAAACGAGCACGCAGCGGAAACGCGAGGAGCAGGCCCACACGGAACGAACTGCTCTAATACCATGTCAGAAACTAGCTTAGCTAGGAAGCCATAGAATGGCACAAGGTTTAGCTAGTTTCTGACATGGTATTAGAGCAGTTCGTTCCGTGTGGGCCTGCTCCTCGCGTTTCCGCTGCGTGCTCGTTTCTCTCTCTATCTCGCGCTGCCATGGCGGCGCGAGATAGAGAGAGAAACGAGCACGCAGCGGAAACGCGAGGAGCAGGCCCACACGGAACGAACTGCTCTGATACCATGTCAGAAACTAGCTTAGCTAGGAAGCCATAGAATGGCACAAGGTTTAGCTAGGAGCTAGGAGGAGCCATGAGAATGGCGAGAGGTTTTAGGTGCTAGGAAAGTTGAGGAGAGGAAAAGTTGTTGGATTAGAAGAGAGGGGAGTACAAGGAGGGGTTTGTACCCCCTACAGAAAGGTTCAGTAACAACCTACCAAGCCTATATAAATTATAACTTATATAATTTTAACACCATACACCTCAAAGGCACACCAGGACACATATCGTACGTACGCACCTTGCACTTTGATTCGTCATTGCATGCCCTGCCTTTTCCCCCGAGCACCTCACGAGACAGCAGTGTCAATCCCGCTCTGTGGAATTGGTGCTGATTGGCTCCAATTGACTCAAGACCAGAAAAGTTTTGTTGGGGGAAATCTCGATAGCTGATTCCACAAAATCTACCTGCAGGCCTCTAAATTGGTTTTGGCCCACTCTTATGAATCAGAGTGCTTGGAAAAGTTTACCCTGCATGCTAGGGTACAAAAATTTCCAAGTCTGAAATAGCAGGGTAAAAAATATCTTACACTGCACTCTCAGAGTAAATTTCAAAACACCTGACTTCCTTTCACTAGAAATTGCCTTTGCACTTCATGAATCGTTAGGAATTAGCACATGCCCATCCTGTGAGACTTGTCCCTACAGAGCCTACGGCCCACAAAGGCCACTGGTACTGCTATGCACCACCACCAGCACCACCACCCGCCATCGATCTGATTCTGCCACCGAAATCAGTCGCCTCTGTTTTCGTTTCGCGTGCTGCTCACGCGAAACTCTGTTCCTTTCGCCGCCTGAGTCTTAGGTCCTCAGTATCGGCATTCAAAAGTGCGAAAAGCCTCTGAAGTGAATATTGGCTCGTCTCATATGTTGCTTCTCTTCTCCACCTCCTACTTCTACTACTCGTACTTCTACAACTTCTCCACCTCCCTCCTTCCCTCTGCCCCCTCTCCCTCCTTCTACCCTCCCTCCCCTCTCCTGACCCCAAAGCAAGATTTCCTGACTGCCAGCAGGCATGGGGACTTGTGGGGGTGTTGATTGCGTGGGCCCATAGCGGAACTAAATGCATCAGCAGTAGTGAAATCACCATTTGCCCCTCCTCCCCGCTCCCAAACCCAGAACAAGCTCTCCTGGACTGCCAATAGGCGTGCCACGTGAAATTAAATTTTGCCCCAATGGGGGCTGACAATTTCCGGGTGGGGCCTTGGCGACAATTACTGCAACAGCGGTACTGATATCACCTTCTGCCCTCATCTGTACGAAGACAGTAATTAGGGTTCCTTTTCAATTGGGTTTCGCATCGCAACTGTCACAATGGGAGTGGCAAGAAGTGTGAGATTGGAGGCGAAATATGTTGATGTGCGAGCCTTTGTAAAGTGTTTGCCCACCCAGTCGCCCGCCAACTTTGGTCGCAGTAGTTAAAGAGGGGCCCACTTCGACCACCGTCACCCCCGTTTTTCAAATCGCGTGGTCTAACTTCGTTGATGGCCAAACTTCAGAACGCGATCTTATCCCAGTTGCTTCAGACTCCCCAATTCTTCATCCCCATCCCCAGACCCTATGGCCAGCCCCCAATCTATATCCCTACTCCATACCTACCATCTCCTATCTCCCTTTTACATCTCCAATTCCCCTTTCCCCAAATAAGTGTCCCCTATCCTGTACCCATTTATCTCCCATTCACCAATCCCCCATTCCCTATTTCCTATCTCCTCTCCCCCATCCCTCAAATTCAATCCTTAATTCCACATTCCCGAGTCGATAGCCCTAACCAGCATTCCCCATGCCTCATCCCCTATCCCCGATCCACTTTCCCCAAACCTTATATCAATATTGTGTCCTCCGCATCCAGCTGTCCCATGCACGGTAGGGTATCCTTGACTGTGTTGCATTAACACCCTTGTCATGTGTATAAGGCTGTAATGTTTCCTGTTTCCCACTAAAACTCCCCAGCATGTTCATTGCTGATGATCTACTTGGCTCCATACCAGCGACGATCGGCAATCTTGTATCGCTCACCTACTTGTCAGTCTCCTAACATTACCGAGGATTATGACTCTGACGTGTTAGTGGCTCAATGCCCTCGGGCATTGCCAATCTCCTAGATTGTTAACCACGCTGTTTGTGACAAGTTGTTTTGTCAAATGTGACCTTCTCAGGTTACCATTTCCTGTTACAACAGGTTCGAGCACATAACCTACTTTGTACGATATATGGTAGCTTTGTCTGAACTAGCTTGCATCTATTGGAATTTGTTGCTCTTGTCACTACAATGCATCACTATGTCCTGATTTTTTTATATTCCTCCCACGCCCCTCATGCTCCGCTTCCATCGATTATCCCATGCAATCCTTTTCCATGCACCATCAGGTATCTGGGAGGGAATTCCTTGACTGGGTCGATTCCATCTACTATTGGCAGCATGACCAGCCTCACGCTTCTGTCACTATCATGGGAACACAACTGAACACGCACTGCTACATGCTTTTCATTAAAGCAAACTGTTGTCTCTCACTGGAAAAGAGAGCTAGCGCATGTTTTCTATGCGGTCCTCTGCCAACCTCACAATCAGAGACACCCATGGCATGCCATTATATTCCCCCCCTCCCCCCCCCCTCTTTAAATGACTCCTCTTCCCCGCCCCTGCTTCAATGAATCAACTCATGGAATCATTTGCATTCACCACAAGGGACCTGAGTCGTAATGCTTTGACTGGGCCTATTCCATCTACCATCGGCAGCATCACCGGCCTCACGCTTCTTTCAGCATCACCTCCCACGTCCCTCATTCTTCACTTCCATAGATTAACCCATGCAATCCTTTTCCATGCACCATCAGGGATCCGGATGGGAATTCCCTGACTGGGTCTATTCCACCTTCCATGGGCAGCATGAGCAGCCTCACGAATCTGTCAGTATCATGGGAATACAACTGAACACTACATGCTTTTCACTGAAGCAAACTGTTGTCTATCACTGGGAAAGAGAGCTAGCGCATGTTCTCTATGCATTCGTCTGCCAAATTC